GCATGCCCTGTTTTATCTTAGGCGGATTGCAATTCATATTTAGGAAATTGTTACATAGTAGTTGCCGGAAGTTCTTCCGTGACCCAAATTAAATACTTTTAGCCCGGTGTAAGCTACCTGAATAGGAAAAAAATCATCTTACAAATGCCATTCAGTCACTGTACGTCTAGTTACGGCGGTCAAGTAAATAAACCAGTCTCTGCCTATATGGCAAAAAACTAGTAGACAGTAGGAGGAAAAGATTATCTGTAAACGAAAAGTCAGTTAACGTAGGGCAGGCAACGGGACAGTGACGTCTACCTGTAAAAAAAAACCGTCTGCGTCGACACCGTGCAGTCGGCTTTTTCGTGTTATCCAGGCCAAGACGCCTTTGAAAGGACACGTGGGGTGACGCTAAGATGACAACGCAATTCAGCGCGCGTGCACTCGCTTAATTAGAAATAGAAGTACACGCGTGAGTTACAGGGGGGGGCTCTTGGTCCTTGAAGAAAACGGTTTGTCAAAAGCCGGAACCATTTATTTATTTCATCGTTGAGATCGCATAGGGGTCCATCGTCAGCGATAAAAAATATACGGCGACAAGACGCATTAAATTTTTGAGCATACATAACCAATTAACGCCACGTGGATTTTTCACCCTCGTACACTGCAACTCATTGCCAGACTCGCAAAGCGTCCACTGGTCGACAGCGCAACTTCGCCAAACCCACCTCTCTTGCTGCCGTTTCCTAACATCTGACGGTGACCCCCCACACAAGCTGGAAGATACAGACGCATAAATTTGTGGTTGCATTACTTCTCGAGCTGAGGTCTCCATTCATTCAATAGGACAACAGAGACAGTTTACTGTCTCACTACGTGTTGATGAGCTGGAGAGAACGGTCATAAGAAGCCCCAGAATAAAGAACTTTCAGTTTGAAGCTATTTTGAAATTAAGTATGACAGTGCATGGGTTTAAGTTTACATGTAAGTTTGCAGGGTTTTTCGACTGACCTTTGTCAGTCATCCTGGCCAGACGTAGACGCGAAAGTCCACACTCCGGACAGTCTAGGAGACTCTTCAGAGCAGTAAAGGCATCGGAGAATTGGCGGAAGTTGCTCGAACGGTCGCCGCTGAAACCTGTCGGCAGGGCAGCAGAGTTGATTGTAGTCGCCGCATCGGCCAGACCCTGCATCTGCGCCTCAGCACACTTCTTCCACTGTTCTAGGCAAGTTTTGTGCAGACGACAGGCTACGGTGCGGTGAGGGCAAAAAGAGAACAGAGAGGAGGGCTCATGTAAACTTCATGCAAATAGAGGGAGGACGGTAAAAAAGGATAGTGTAAGTATTTCGCTTCTGCTAAATGAGGCTACATGTTCAGGCATTTGAGTCGGCACCATGAAGGTGTTAAAACTAGTCCCACGGCCAAGTACCACTTAAGTGGGGCTTGAATACTTGCTCCACCTCCCCCCCCCGTTCGGCACTCTTGCCTTTTAGCCACCTTTCGCCCACAATGCTTCCGCTCCCTCCCCCCCCACTGCATTAAGAGACAACTGTTTCAAGTGATACTTGCTATCGCCTCTCCCCTCCCCTCTGGCTCGATTACAGCTGTCACCAGCTCTGACTTCAAACGCTTGCAATTCACTCCCCCTTTCCGGCACAAAACTGCCTCTGTTCACGTCCGCCCCACGGTCTCTGTTCCCTGCACCGTGTCCGTATTCGCTCCTTCGTCTTTTCGGACTGATGTGCTTATGCCCTTATAAACTAGCAGCAACGAGTCTGTATCGTTCACGACTGTAGAACCACACCGAGTTACCCTTACTGTCTCATGACATATAAAGAATATGCGACCGATTGACTGTCATTTGACATAACTTCTGACCTCGGGTGCATCTATTCACGTGATGAAACCTAGCGAAAAGGCCAACAGTATTAACAGTTATTCGAGTTATCTCACTGTCCTTCGACATAACTTCTGAACTCGGAAACATTGCAATATGAAAAGCCCTTCAGCTATTATTTACAATTATTCGAGACGCTCTTTAGCCAATGGCAGCATTATTCGACACGCTCTTCAGTCAGTATTTACAGTTATTCGAGACGCTCTTCAGCCAGTATTTACAGATAATTTGGTGTCAACTATCTACGTAACTTACCATTATCAAAGATTAAGTCAATGTAAAAACGGCAACGTGATATGAATAAATATTCTGCTGATAATGACAGAACTCCGTTTTCTGTGCATACAGAGCAGTTTTCAGTATAGTTCGTTTTTTTAGGCCCCGTTCTAAGAGGACAACAGCACAACGGAGTGGCGGAATGTATACTAGGAATTTGCGAAAACTGCGAATCTTCTGGCGGTTCCGTTTAAAGTTTCCGAAGCGATCGAGCGTATTGCCGCGGGAATAGACGTTGGAATCGCACATCGTCCCAAGGCTACAATGCGCAGCCAGGTCATAAGGATCAAGGATCGACTAAATCCCAGTGAGCAGTCAGGTGCATGCTATGTCTAAACTGTCCTGTAAATTACACGGGACAGACCGGACGCATGCTGGGTTTTCGTATACACGAACACAAGTCGGCG